AATATTTATATATCTATAGATATATATACATATATATATATATATATACGTGGGCCCCAAAGTACTTATATGGGAAGTACTCTACGGCCCAAGTATTCCCTAATTAGGTACATGGACCCTCAGGGCTACTTCCAATCGCTGCACCATCAGAGTGTTGCTGGCACCTGCGGTGGCCACGCCGCTAGCCGGACTCCACAACACCAACCCTAAACCCTAAACCCTAAACCCTAAACCCTAAACCCTAAACCCTAAACCCTAAACTCTAAACCCTAAACCCTAAACCCTAAACCCTAAACCCTAAACCCTATGTTCAGGCTCCTAGACAAGCAGGTTCATGCAAATCAAGAGCTCCATCTCCCCCCATGGATCTGAAAGTAGGTGAAAATGACTTGGCTGCACTCAGGAGGGTAGCTATAAATTCAACTTTTAGCTGCCTTAGGAAGAAACCCAATAAGCCCCAAAAAAGGTAAGGATCTAAAGTTACAGTAAAGTACCACAAAGATGATATCGAACCACCCCCCCATGGCCCAAGATCGCTGCTATGGCCGATCCATCAGCCTGTTCAAGGAGCGTTATCAAACCCAGGCTTCGGCGCACGCGCTTTCATAGCCGGCATTTCCGCGGGATGAGAACCTTGAAGCCTGACAAACTGACCGTTTGGGTAGAGTTCGAAGGTTTAGGGTTTAGGTTTTAGGGTTTAGGGTTTAGGGTTTAGGGTTTAGGGTAGAGTTCGAACCCCAAGCCCCAACCAGTCCTCCAAGTTCTTCTCCTTGGCTTCGTTGGCCTTGGGACGGCAAGTGCACCCATCTTGGCTGCACTCAGGAGGGTAGCTATAAATTAAACTTTTAGCTGCCTTAGTAAGAAACCCAATAAACCCGATCTAAAGTTACAGTAAAGTACCACAAAGCCATGAAGACCCTCTATTTGCCGTCAACCGCATACCTTATTTCTCAAAACGATGGTCCCTTCTGGGGGTACCCTGAAAATTCGGGCCCGCCGTATAAAAAGGACCCCCAACAGGCACCAAAGACATTGGAGAAGTGACCATATCACGTTGAGAGTATGTGCTTGATAGTACAGGCCATCAGCCACTACCGACTTCCAAAGGTTTCCCCCAAAGCAATCCGACCCAAAAACTAACCCGAACATGCGCCCAGTGCGTCATCAGTCATATAGGAACCCTTTCCATCCACCCCCCCCTCCCCCCCCGGCCAAAAAAAAATATAGAAAGAAAACACAAGAAAGTACCCCGACTCTTGGGAAACCCCATAGTATGGGTATCTAAACCCTAAACACTAAGCCCCAAACCCTAAACCCCCCCCCCAAAAAAAAAAAGACTTGTATCCCTATCTTCAGAAACCACCTCGTTGATGCAACCCTAAACCCTGATACCCTAAACTTTAAACTCTGAACCCTAACCCTCAACCTTAAACCCTAAACCCCACGTTTCTGCAAGTGGAAAAGGTGTCTCGTCGCACCCGGTTTGCAAGCATCTTCGAGCCGTTGCGCGCAATAGGGCCTACGCGTGTGACTGTGCTGTCTGGCCCTGGAGCTTCTGCAGGGGGTTAGGGTTTAAGGGTTTATATAGAGTTGTTGTAAGGGTTTAAGGGTTTATATAGAGTTTTTCTAAGGTTTGTATAAGGGTTCTTATAAGGTTTATACAAGGGTTTATATAGAGTTTAGGGTTTGTATGAGGGATTCTTTATAAGGGTTTAGGGGGGAAACGCTAAATTGCAACCTTGGGTACTGAGCCTGCAATCGAGCGGTGATGCGGTGATGCGGTGAAACGAGCGCTTTCAATGAGCAAGAGCATGCCATGAAACATTAGACCCTAAACCCTAAACCCTAAACCCTAAACCCTAAACCCTGCATCCTTACTTTACAAGCCCCCAGACTTGGTTTCAAGCCAAGAGCGGCACGGGCACGAAGCAGTCACCACCTTGGGCCGGAACCAACGTCGTTTGGCTTTCTAAGGTTTAGGGTTTAGGGTTTAGGGTTTAGGGTTTAGGGTTTAGGGTTTAGGGTGTAGGGTGTAGGGTTCAGGGTTTAGGGAGGGTCTGAGACGGTTTATGAAGAGTTCATGTACAAGATTCAAGGTGTGGTTGAAACCCTCTGGGCTTAATTTAGAGGTTCTGAAGAGTTTGGGGCCGAGCTACTCCACGCCCGCTTTGACGGACCCATTTGTTGTTTGTTTCGAGTTTCGGGTTTTTGGTTTAGGGTTCCCTAAACCCTAAACCCTAAACGCTAAACCCTAAACCCTAAACCCTTACAAGCCCGCATCTTTTGCCTCGGTCGCTGCCAGTCTTTGCATTCCAGCGACTGCGCATCCTTTCAAGGGAGTCATACTCGGACCCCTACTTGGAGGTTCCAATGATTGGGGCTTAGGGTTTAGGGTTTAGGGTTTGGGGTTTGGGGTTTGGGGTTTAGGGTATAGGGTTTAGGGCACTTCTACCGGTACCTAAAACCATTTTAGGGCACTTGTGGGGCGTATAAGTGGGTTAGAAGTACAGTTATAATTGGTAAGTACGTACCATGAGCCTCCAATTACTTGGAACCTGGTTCTGAGTCGGGAGTGAGGGAATCACCCTAAACCCTAAACCCTAAACCCTAAACCCTAAACCCTAAACCCTAAACCCTAAACCCTAAACGCTTAGGGCTTAGGGTTTAGGGTTTAGGGTTACTTTCTCTTCAACGGTGTTTATGTAAGGGGGGGATAAAGGTACCCAATTCCCTCACTCCTTTCCTGCTTGGTAGGTCGTGGGTACGTAGAACCACAACTATAAGTCTACTTATAACCTAACTAGGGGGGATGCATTTATAAGTAATTTATAAGTGCATTTATCATGGGGGTTGTGAGATGTTGTGAGTGTCCTGAACCTCCCAGTAAGGTTGTACCCCTAACAAAATTCCCTTCGTATACTCCTCCCCACTAGAAGATCTTGAAAGGGTTTCCCCAAACCCAGGGGTGCACCCTTAGGGGTCCAAGGTAGAGAGTCCCACGATCCGTGATCCTCGCGCGCCGAGCTGGACCTAACATTGTCTCCAGCGGGCTTAGCAGTGCCCTGACTCACATGTAGTCGAGTTTGTTATTGCTCGTATCTCCAAAAAGACGCCCACGCGACACACGACAACCGTTACAAGGAACCATTCTACACGCACCAACAACACCACTATACACCAACACCCAGTAAACCCTAACCCTACGCCCCTATGCCGGCAGTATACTAGAAACCCTATAACCAACTCAAACAAGAACTACCTTAGAGCCTTCGTAAACCCTAAACCGTGAACCCTTAGGTTACACAACCCTAGACCCTGAACCCATAATCCTAAACCCTAAACCTACACCCTACCTCACATGACTGTCTAATTCGAGGCTTGAAGGTTTAAGGCTTCAAAGTTTGGAGCCCCTTGCGTCATAAGCTATAAGAAATGGCAGGGTTTCGGGTTTCGGGTTTAGGGTTTAGGGTTTAGGGTTAGGGTCTAGGGATTAGGGATTAGGGTTTAGGGTTTAGAGTCTAGGCTTTTTCTAGACCCAAGAGTAACCCAGGAACATAAGGTAAAAGGGGTGCACGCTTTGGCTTAAGGGTGCTTTTAAGCGAATCCTAAACCCTGAAAAAAAGGCATAAGCTACTCTGGGTCCTAGCCAGAAACCCAAAAACCCTATACCCTAAACCCTAAACTCTAAACCCTAAACCCTCAGCCATGAGTCAGGGGCCCAGCTGGAGCAGAGGTCCATGGAAGAAAGCGGCGCATAGAGCAGCCCGACTGCGATCTAGGACCCTGAACCCTAAACCCTGAACCCCAAAGCCCAAACCCCAAACCCTGAACCCTAAAGCCTAAATCCTGAAACCTAAACCCTAAACCGACCCTCCCCCCGAAACCCTAAACCCTGAACCCTAAACCCTAAACCCTGAAATCTTCGGGCTTCGGGGCCAGTTGAGGGTGCAGGGCGCCCGAAAACCCTCGAGCCGATAAACTACATCCTCAACCCTAAACCCTAAACCCTAAACCCTAAACCCTAAATGCGCCTGGATTTAGAAGGCAGAGTTGCGGAGTTGGAGGGTGTTGGGTTTTGGGGCTGGGGAAGAAGACTCTTTAGGGTTTAGGGTTTAGGGTTTAGGGTTTAGGGTTTAGGGTTTAGGGTTTAGGGTTTAGGGTTTAGGGTTTAAGTCCTAGCTGAATCTTTGAAAGTGGCTCTTTGGAAGCAGCGCCCTAACTTCCTAAACCCCAAGCCCTACTTGGGGGTCCAGGGCACTTAAAACCCCAACTATAGCGGTACTTATACGTTTAGGGTTTAGGGTTTCGGGTTTTAGGGTTTTCGGGTTTAGGTTTCCGGGTTTAGGGTTTTAGGGTTTGGGTTTCCGGGTTTAGGGTTCAGGTGAACCAGAAGACTCCGGGTCCTTCCGTCGCACTGTAGGGCTGCAGTTCTGCGTTGAGGCTGCCGTCAGGGGTGTACGACACGTGTGTGTTGGGATGTTCCCCCTTAATACGAACAGTCCTCGACAGGACTATTTAGGGTTGTGGGTTTAGGGTTGTGGGTTTTATAGGACTATTTAGGGTTTAGGGGTTGTGGGTTTAGGGGCTTCGGGGCTTAGGGGTTTAGGGCTTAGGGGTTTTAGGGATTCTCGGGGTTTAGGTGGAGGCGCCAAAAAGAGCCGGCAAGAAACCCCACTTTGGAGCAGACCCTGGAAAAAAGGATATACTTCTTAGTCAGAAGTAGCTATAATCGGAACCCAGAACCAACAAAAACTATTAAAGTATGGTACTCCACAACCCAGGTCAATAGGGATTATAATCGGCAGGTTACAATCATCCCTATTAAGGACGCTTAGTATAAGGGTGGACATCCCAACACAGGGGTGTCATTCGGAACTCGAGTTTTGGGGTGTTATGCCGGGAGGCTTTGGATTTGGGTTTCCGGCTTTAGGGTGTTTAGCGCGAAGCCTAGCGTTCAGGCTTAGCAGGTCTCCGGGAAAAAATGGTGCCACAAGAGCACCTCAGATTCCAAAGGTGGATTCCGTGTCCTCGGCCTCTATGCCGGGACGTGCGTCCTCCACAGGCTGGGCCTCGCGGCCGTCTCCGTCCGACCGCTTCCCTTTGGTGGCATTCTTGGACCCCTTTCGGAACACGGCGATCGTCAGGCCAAGGAGGATCAAGAAAGGCAGCACGGGAAGAAGGCTGCTGCGCTCGACTCGGTTCGACAGGATCATCTTACCAACCCAGAAACCGGTGACGAGGAGAACCACCGACTGTGAGAGCGCGAAGGCGAGACATAGTCTTGACCGACAGCCCATCCGATAGCCATACCTAGGATTGCCCAAAAAATCCTCTGAAAAAAAGTCCTGCACATGATCCTCTTAAACCCAAGAAGGGCAAGTATGAGATGTCCCAAGGGCATACCGAGATACTCACAGAGGAAGAAGTTCAACCGGGTTGTCGTCACTGCAAGCATGGCGACGAAGGCCCAGTCGACAAAGATGCGTACGGCCCAAACGACAGCATCACCCCCAGAATAGTTGTTAGGTGGCCCCTTGGCCAATTCTGCGATGTAGCTGGAGATGAAGGGCACGTGGCAGCCTAGACCCAGGAGTAACCCAGGAATAAGAAAAGTACCCTGTTTGGTTTTAAGGGGATTAGAAAGGAACCCCAACCCTAAAAAAAGGGAAATAAGGGCCTGTTCCTGGTCCTAGCCCTAAACCTTAAACCCTAAACCCTAAAACCCAGATTCACCCTCAACCCTATGCCGGGTCTATTCCTTGTCCTAGCAGCTAGCAGCCATATACAACGTGTAGCCCACGGGAAGGTTGTCTCCACCAACCTCGGCTGCTTTAGGGTTTAGGGTTGAGGGTTTAGGGCCAAGCCCCAGCAAAGGCCAGGGTGCTGACCCGAAAGTACCCAATCTAAGTAAGTATAGGCCCTAGATTGTAAGCCTTAGGGGACGCCCCTGAGCCCCCAAAAAAACT